TGGGGAGGTCAGAACCTTTGGCCTTGGCTGTCAGGTTCAGTGGCTGTGAGGTCTCCTGCGGTGGAGGGAGAAGCAGGGTGAAGTGTAGCCCCCCTGCCCAGCACCCCAGCCTGGGGGATGGAGCTGCTTTGGGGCTGTACCTGCATCTGGAGGTGGCCCGAGCCGGCGGGTCTCTTCAGCGTGGGAGGAGGGGGGCTGTGCAGCAGCTGCACCGGGTAATCCACTGTGGGGAGCAGAGGGAGAGGGGTTGGAGGGCTGGGGGACACCCCATGGGGCTGGGACAGCCCTGGGGGACCCCACTCACCTGGTTTGCAAGGGATGGGCTGGATGGGCAGTGCTAACTGGGAGTCAGGAGTGACAGGGAGAGGCTGGTGGCTGGGGGTGAAGGCAGGAATCATGACATAGGGCATGTTGACCTGCTGGAGGGAAGAGGAGAGAGAAGCAGAGAGACCAGAGAACCTCTGTGGGACTCTGCAGGCAGTGCTGTCCCCTTGCCTGGCCCCAGGAGGGGACACGAGCCCAGCACACGAGGAAGGCTGCAATCCCCCAGCACAGGATGGGGGGCAGAGGGAGGTGTCCCCCTCCTTTACCTGGATCTGTTGCTGCAGCAGGTTGATTTTGTGCTGCTGCTGGATGAGCTGCTGCTGCTGCTTGGCAATCTGCAGAGGGAAGGCAGCAGCGTCACCAGCAGCTCTGAGCTGGCCCAGCATGAGCTGCTCAACACCAGCAAAACACAGACAAAGGGTCTGCAGAGGGTCCTGAGCCACCTCCCAGGGCATGGAGAGAGAAACAGGCTGGGAGGGACAGTGCCATCCCCACCCCAGGGTGTGCAGGGGGTGTCACCCTTGCCCACAGCACTGAGGACCAAGAGGTGTTCAAAGAGAGCACAGTCAGGAAGGACCCAGTGTGGTTTAATTATTTTAAGGAGAGCAATTCCCATCTCCTTCAACCCTTGTCCTCCTGGCACCAGGGAGCAAGACTGGGGGCCTTTGGGATGGGCACAGAAAATGGGAGGGTTTCTGGGCAGACAGTGAAGTCCCACTGCCCATGATGCCAAAGCCACCTCCCCACCACTCCCAGGGGACCCTGTCCTGGTCCTGCAGCCAGCAGATCCCAGAGGGATTCCTGAAGGGATGGATGGTCCCTGGCAAACACTTCCCCTGGGAACCTGAGCCCACCTGCTCTTGCTGCTGCCGTGCCAGCTCCATCTGCTGCTGCTGCTTCTCAAAGAGCATGGCTGCCATGTTCTTCTGCTCTGAGTGGGCTGTCAGGAGCTGGTCCCGCAGCGTGGACAGCTGGTTGATCATGACAAGCAACTGGAGCTCCTTCTCTGCCAGGCTCTCCTGGGTTCCTGGAAGAAACCGAGCGCCTGCAGGTCAGGGACTTGGAGAAGGTGAGCAGCATCAGCACTGGGTGCTGCTGTGGGGGTGTGTAAAGACCCTCCCTGTGCTGAACCATCCCCTCTGTGCAGTCCCAAGAGAGCTTTCATGGGGGATGCTCACCCCCCCAAAAAAAAAAGAAATCAAATTAATGATTTGGTTAAAAAAAAAAAGCACACATCTCTACTAACTACACACACTTGTAGGCACATCTCTGCTCCAGCTGCGGGAGAACTGCCCTGTTCCCAGCCCAGGCTGCACAGGTGTGGGCAGGAGGATGGTGGTGGTGGGTGAACGTGGGCAGACCTCACCTTTCACTTCCTTGGACTCAGTGGGGTTCCGGCCCAGCAGCCGCTCCTTCCAGTCACTGGACAGTAACTTCTCAATGGTTGGCATCACTGTCCACACCAGCAGGGACCCGGGGCAGCAGAGCAGGGAGAGGGAGGACAGCCAGGTGAGCACAGCCACAGGCTCCGCACCCGCAGCACGGGGTGCTTCACCCCCCCATCTCACAGCAAAAATAACCAGGGGCCCAAAGAGAGCAGGGGAGGTCTCAGAGGGAACTCAGAAACCTTTCTTACCCTCTTTCAAGTTCCTGTTGAAGTCCAGCTTCTCCTGGCTGCCGACAGCCGGCTCGAAGGCAGAGCGCCGGGGCTCCAGGGCATCGCTGGCTGGGGAGCAGGACTCCTGCCACACACACAGTGTCACTTGGCACCTCATCCCACAGAGAGGGATGTGCCCAGGACTCCAGGAAGGAGATGGCTGGGCCAGTGGGATGATCAGAACTGGCCATGCCCAGCTGGACCACACTTTGCCAGGCACATTGCCCCCCCCACCCCATCTCATCCCAGCCTGACTTGAGAGCATCTCTGCTCTTCATGCCACAAAGATTTGTTTGCTGGAGGTTTCTATTATTTATTTAGACTGCCTGGCTCCTCTGAGCCCAGTTCCCCCCAGGGAATGGGAGGGCTGAAGGCTGCTGGTCAGGGGGAGACAAAACCCAAGAGCAATTAAAAATGGAGGCTGAAGGGATGGAGCACTTCTGGGAGTGGCCATGGGTGCTCCATGCACTGAAATCCCAGGGCTGACCTGAGAGCATCAACAATGGCCAGAAAACCTCAGGGGAGCCTCAGGTTCCAGCTTAGTTTCCTTGGGATGAGGAAAAACCATCCAGGGAAACAACCACCCCCTCTACCAGGGGAAGGAGCCCAGGTCTGGAGCGGGGATGGCCACGATGCTTTGCCAGCCCAGCAGGACCAGTGTTTGTCACAGCTACAGGACCCACCTGTGGCAGGGGCTGGGGGTCAGTGCCCTCCCTCGGGGGTGGCCCTGGTGGGTCGTTGGGACGGGGCTCAGTGCTGGGGGCAGCCCCAGGTGGGGACTCACAGACACCCTCCTTCTTCTCCTCCGTCTTGATGCTGCAGTTCACCATGCTGCCCGCTCCATTGAGCTCCAGGTAGGGAGAAACAGGGCTCCTCATGGACATCCTAAAGGGGCACAGGGTCATCAGCAGAGCCACGGGCCACCCCCATGGCCACGGGTCCCCCCCCCCCCCTTTTCCCCGCCCGGCCCCGTACTGAGGGGCT